AAAATAGAATTTTTATCACCAACAAAGCCGTAATATTTAAACAAAAAAAGAATTTTATTAATTAATTTTTACGAGAAAGTTACAATCTCATCTTTTTTCAGTTGTTTCCTTTTTAGAAATCCGTTGTTCCTAGATATTTCACGATCGGCAAAACAGCTATTAGACATTTCATGAACTGTCTAAAAAATTTAGACATATCATGTAATTTTGGAACATTACACGATCTGTCTGAGGCCGAATTGCATTTCATGAACTGTCTAAAAGTTTTAGCCACTTCGTGTAACTGATCGACCATTACACGATCTGGCTGCAGTTCATGAACTGTCTTAAAGTGCTTAGACGGTTCACGAACTGTCTAATTTCACGATCTGTCTACGACATATATAATGATGGATAAAATAACATTGAAGTTAGTATAGATAGTGACAGTCACCAAAGTAGACAAATTTTCACATGCTCATACTAAAATGGCTAATGAAAAAGGTGTTATAGCTCAAAAGCTTCATAGATTAGCTCAAAGAAATTATCCTCGTCGACATGTTGACATTCGAGGGATTGATGAAACATGGCAAGCTGATCTGGTTGAAATGATTCCATATTCTAAATTTAATAATGGTTATAAATATTTACTTACAATAATAGACATTTTCTCAAAGTATGCTTGGGTAGTCCCTATTAAAACTAAAAGTGCTGATGATGTTAGAAATGCAGTGAAAAGTGTCATACAACAACAAGACCGTAAACCGAAAAATCTACATATTGATAATGGTAAAGAGTTTTATAACAAGGACCTTAAAGAGCTCATGAAGAAATATAAAATCAACATGTACTCAACATTCAGCAACTTGAAAGCTTCAATATGTGAACGGTTTAACCGAACACTAAAAAATAAAATGTGGCAACAGTTTACAGCACGTGGTACATATAAATGGGTTGATTACTTCCCGAGTTGATAAATACTTATAATAGCACTAGACATCGAACTATTAGAATGAAACCTATTGAAGTGACAGCCGCCAACGAAAACTAGTTGCTACAAACGATATGTTAACCTCTTGGAGTGAAACCAACAATTATAAAGCAATCGAGATTCAAAGTTGGAGATAAAGTTCGCATAAGCAAGTATAAACATGTATTCGAGAAAGGGTATACCCCCAACTGGACAACAGAAATTTTTCAATTAAGACAGTGTGAAATACAAACTTGTTTTCTTGCAAATTAATTCGGTTATAATTTAACAAGAATTTTGTGATGTTTAATTAAAAAGATTACAAATATTTCGATTTTATATTGATTTATTTTATTGAGTACTGACTATACTTTTTACATTAAATTTATCGGTACGTAAGTCGGTAAAGGTCAGGTATAAGACGCTCGGCGAGCGTGGTCAGAGGTTTGTCCGTAACAAAGGCGCTCGGCGAGCGTGGTCAAAGGTTTTTTGGTACCTGTCTTGGTCGATTTTTAGTCAAACTATCGTCAGTCAGAGAGTGCAATTTTGGGAAGGCTATTTCCTTTTTTGGTTGGTGGAAAATAACTGGAGTTGGGGAATAGTTGTTAAATGAAAGGATTCTGGAAAGGGTATTATTTATTTAAAGAAGGGTTGTTTAAACTAAGTGTGAGAAGATTGCTAAGTTGGGAAAAGTCTTGTCGCCATCTGATAAACAGATGGGTTGTAAAATTTATCAGTTTGTGTCGAAGGTTAGTCTTAGTCATTAAAGTGATTATTTAACAATGGCAACTACTTGAGTTCGACTGTCATAAATTTCCGAATTTTAAGTTTTATGACGTCTTTGTTAAAGGTCTGTCGAATATTTTTAAAACATGAGTAAACTTAAGATTAAAGTACAATTTTTTCATAACTTATAAAAAACTGAGGTACATAACTAAACATTCTCCCCCCGTTGAGAGGGTCAGCCGAAGAACAATACAATACAAGAATATTATGCAAAATAAAATAAAATAAATTCAAATCACTTAAAGTCTCTACTAAATGTCTTTCTATTTTTTTATTCTTTCTCGGTCGGAGTTATAGGTAAAATTGCTAATTTTTTCACATTACGAATAAATGAGGATTTCGCGGTTTTCACTCTGACGGTTCTAACAACACCGTCATCACCTGGTAAACACTCGATGACTCGTCCCAAGGCCCATTGTGAAGGGGGTAGGTAGTCTTCCTTCAGAGTGACCACTGTCTCAACGATGATATTGGGCTCTGATTTTGTCCATTTGGTTCGTTGGATTATTTCAGTGAGATATTCACGTCTCCAACGTTTCCAAAAGTCTTGTTTGACCTTTTGGATGTGTTCCCAAGTGTTTAAACGATTAGTAGGACCATCGGTAAAATTTCGGTCACGTTAGTTGGTTACTGAATCTCCACTCAAAAAATGGCCAGGTGTAAGGACCATGGAATCGTTGGGATCAGAGGAAATAGGAGTAAGAGGGCGTGAATCCAATATGGCTTCGATCTCGGTTATTAGGGTGTTAAATTGTTCATAGGTAAACAGCATTTCTACTCCTGTGACATGAATCAAATGACGTTTGAAGCTTTTCACTGCGGCTTCCCATAAGCCACCCACGTGAGGTGCCCGTGGTAGTATAAAATGCCATTGAATTCCTTTGTTAGTTAGGTAAGCATTGATTTTATCTTGAGCATCAGTAGTATGAAGTTCTGCGGTTAATTCTTTCAAGATATTGTTTGCTCCTGCAAAGTTAGTTCCGTTATCACTAAAGATGTCCTGGCATAAACCGCGTCGAGAAATAAAACGTCTTAATGCGGCAATAAAACCTCCAGAGGACAGGTCGGTAACTAATTCTAAATGGACAGCTTTTATAGATAAGCAAACAAATACGGCAACGTACGATTTTATTGTTTTTCTATTACGGTATTTCTTCTCTTTCAGTAGAAATGGTCCACAGTAATCAACTCCAACTTGACTGAAAGAGTGCGAGGGAGTAACTCGTTGTCTTGGTGAGTCCCCCATGAGGTAATTAGGTGTTGGAGGTTTTGTTTTCCAACATTTTAGGCATCCTTTCAGAGCTTTGAAAACTTGACTTCTTCCATCGATAATCCAATATTTACGTCGGACTAAATATAATGTTTGATGGACTCCGGTATGCAAATGTAGATTGTGGTAATGTTGAATAATTATATTGGTAACATGATTATTTTTTGGTAAAATGATGGGATGTTTTGTGCTGTATGGTAAATCCGATGAAGATAAACGTCCACCTACTCTCATGATTTGTTGGTCATCTAATTTTGGAGTTAGTTTTGCTATTTTTATGGTATCATGGGTGAGGGTTTCAGATTCTTGTAATTCTTTTATTTCTTTCGCAAAGGCTTGCTGTTGTATAGCTTTTAAAATACGAATCTCCATATCACGTAATTCTTTTATAGTTAAAGGACCTTTTGTTTTACAACGTTGGCCAAATCTGAGACAATAAACTAGTGAACGGATCATACGATTATAGCTTGAAAATCTGGTAAGGTCGACAAACTCATGAGGTATGGTTAATAAACAGGTAGCTCTCCGTTGCTCAGGTATTTCTTTTAACAATGGTAATTGATACGTAGGCCATTTTTCGGAAGGTTCTCTTAGCCAAGCTGGCCCATGTTTCCGATGTTCATTGAGGTAAATTCAGCTGGTAAAACTCCTCTTGATACAAGATCTGCCTGATTGTCTTTTGTCCGAACATGTCTCTATGATTTAACATCGGTTTTTGTTTGAATGTCTGAAACTCGGTTGGATACAAATGTTTTTAACAGATGTGGTGAGGTATTTAACCAGTTAAGAACAATGGTAGAATCGGTCCAATAATTTATATTGTCAACAGTGTTCCCATCCGTCACATAATTATCGTAAACGTCACATAATTATCGTAAACGTCACATAATTTGAAGCATTGTACGATCGTTCATCCAACTTTGATTATGTGACGAAAAATTACGATAAAATGAGTCTTGTACAATAGATGTACGATAATTTTCGATATGTTTAATTTTCATTTTTACCCATGCGGCTTAACTTTTATTTATTACCCGCTCGAAGTATGCAGCGCCCCACGAGTGCCCTATTACCCTACACAGTCTGTCATGTAGTAACATATGTAATTTTCCTTACCGACTAAATAATATTTCATCTATAGTTTCTACTGTCTCTAGCATGCAGCTCTTGTCTTCGGTCTAAGTCTTTGAGGAAGAAAGCTAAATACCTTGTGAACGATTATTTGATTTTTTTAAATGTTTTATAATTCATCAAATGTCGAACTCAAATAATATTAAATCTATCGTACCGTTATTAAACCAGAGAACAAAAAAGTGGGTTAAAAATTGAACTGGTGAATATTTGATGATTGTTAATCCAGGTGAATAAAAATATATAAACATAACCTCACAATTGAATTCTTACAATTTTTTTCCACAATTAAATTATTATTTAATTTATTTAATGAACGCTGTGAATTAATTATGTTATGCATTATGTAGGTGAAGAGATTTTTGCTGTTGCACCAGAAAAATTAAGATCCGAAGATTTCAGTCCAAATGACAGCTTAAATTCGTCCGTAGTGTCAACAGCATCATCTAATAAAGAAGTTCATTGTAAAAAAATTATAATTTAATCATTTTATGTATTTATCTATACATGTTTTATTTTAACCTAAAAATTTATTTCCTAGATAATGACGAACGTTTAACTTTTGCTGATAGAAGAGAAGATTAATTCTGAACAGCTGCACATTTTTTTGTCAAAGATCGATCTGTAAGCATATTTTTTAAACTAATTTTAAAAGATATTTTGTAACACCTCTTTTTTAATTATTCAGGTTTTTATTTATCTTTTGTATTTTTCATAGATTATATTCATCATGACAAATAACACGTCTCCTATGAAATTAAAAAAACCAAGCACACGACGGCCACAAAAGTTTCGTAAGGAATGGCTTAATAATCCGGAGTGTCGTTCATGACTCCTGCCGGATTCCAATAAATTTAAAGCTCAATGCTCATTCTGCAAAGCGACAATCACTGCGGAGTTGACAGTTATTCGCAAACATGCAACGAGTAAAAACCATTTAAGCATGCTAAAGAGTTTAAACAAACAAAAAACAATTGTTAGTTTCTCAGATAAAGCTTCAAGTAAATCTCGAAACAAATCACTGGATACTAAAACTTCTCGCGCAGAAATTCAATTCTGTAGTTTTCTAGCAGAACACAATTTATCATTTAAGGTTATGGATCACTTAACACCGTTACTTCAGGAATGTTTTCCTGATAGTGAGATTGTAAAACAAATGCGGTTAAAATCTTCTAAGAGCGTGTGCGTTATTAAAAACGTAATCGGGTATGCTGAAAAAGAAGAATTAGCTGGAAAATTGCAAAAAACTTTTTTCAGTGTACTGATAGATGTATCAACTGACATTTCAATGACCCAGACGTTGTGTATTATTGTGCGCTATTACGATGAAGATCTAGGACGAATAGTTAGTCATTTTTGGGAATTGTGTAAAATTTTTAATGATGATTCCAAAGAAGTGTCTACTACAGCACAGCATCTTTTTAATTGTGTCCGGGAATCCTTTCAACGCTTCTCAGTATCCTTTGATAAGATTATTGGTTTCGGGTCAGATGGATGTAATGCGATAATGGGTAAAAATAATTCTGTAAGAACGAGATTTGGAAAATGCTGTCCTAACATTTACATTATGACATGCATTTGTCATTCGCTTCACCTTTGTGCCAGTGAGGCTTGTGACTCAATACCGTCTGACTGTGAAAAATTATTCCATTCTATTTACAATCACTTCTCATCAAGTTGTAAACGGCAGCATGAATTTAAACAGTATCAACAGTTCTTAGAACTAAAAAATCATAAAATTTTGCGTCCAGTGGAGATTCGATGGCTATCAGTAACAGCTGTCGTTACCAGGCTTTTAGAGTAGTGGGACGCACTAATTTTATATTTTAATAATGTTGTTTACGACATTGAAAGAAAAAGATTAAATTCTCGCAGAACAAAAACTACTTCGACGACTATAAATTTTGAAACAGAAGAACTTATACTTCAACAACTTAATGACCCGATTATAAAATTGTACTATCATTTTCTTGAGTGGATTTTACCAAAATTTTCTTCGTTGAACAAACTATTCCAATCAGAAAAACCTTTAATTACAGTTGTACATAAAACTATGAGCTCAACGTATGTAGAATTACTTAAAAACTTTATGGTCGCCAATTATGTTAATAAAACACCGCTAAGTGAAATTAATCCCGCCGATGAATCAAAATATGTGAATATTTTGAATGTTTACACTGGTGTTAATTCTATTGATTTTTTTAACAAGCCTGAGTATTCAAAATCTCTGCTAAAAGAAGTCAAAATCGAATTTCTTACTAATTGCAGAAGTTTTCTAGTAAAAGGCTGCTTAGCAATTCAAAAAAGGTATGATTTTGATAACATATTACTAAAAAATTTATTCATTATTAATCCTGCAGAAGCTATGGCTCAATCCACTCGGAACAAAATACCTTCTCTATTACCATTAATGAAACAACTACCTCGACTTGTTACCAAAGAATGTTATCAATCCATCGACAATGAGTGGCGACAGCTACCTAGTTTTACTTTGCCAGAAGATATTAAAGTCACTGACCCTGTCGATTCATTTTGGCACAAATTAAAAAAATTTGAGGATAAAGATGGAATTTGGTCTTTTGAAAATTAAGCTAGTTTTTTTTTAAGTACAATATCACTACCTTTGTCAAACTCAGATTGTGAGCGAATTTTTAGTAAAATGAACTTAATAAAATCAAAGACTCGAAATAAGTTAGTTATTGAAACGGTCAATGGGTTGTTATTGTCTAGCCAAAGAGTACATTTAAATTGCGTTAATTATGAACCTAGTCAACGAGAATACAACTTAATTAAAAAGTCATTATATGTTAATGAAAAGAAAAGTACTAGTGATAAAAATAATAACGAAGAAGAAGAAGTGATTTTAGAAACTCTGATATGGAAGACTGATCTGTGCCAAATTAATAATTATTTTATTTATGTTTATGTACTAAATGATTGAAATAATTCAATTTATTGTTATTATTTGTGTAATGGTACTAATAATAGATAATAGTAAGGTTTAATAACTTTAAAAAATAATAAGATTAAAAAATATGTTTAAGTTACTTTTATTATCAGAAAAAATTATAATTGCATGATTTGTTATCCTTAAGTTTAATAAATAAATATTTATTAATATATAAAATTGATTATTTTTTATTCGACAATATTTTTCAATAGCATTAATGCAAAAAAAATTTTTGAAAATCAGTAATTTAATTTAATATTGATAGATTAGAAAGTGGTATGACGTGACATCTACAGTAATATCACATAATTTAATGTCAGTACTGTACTGTGAGTACTATTCGACCCATTAAGAAACATTTTTTTTTGTAAATATTTTTCAAGAGAAAATTTATATCAGAATTTTAAATGAAAATATTTTTGCATAAAAAAATTTTAATTCTGTAAATTTAGTGAAAAACTCGAATTTAACATTTTTTTTTGTGCGTACGATAATTTTTCAGAAAACCCGATAATTTTACGGCACTGTGTCGATCAGACCAGCCAAAGTTTCTGGGAACACTGAATGTCAAAGGTTATTTTTGATGCAGTGATTGTTGCTTTCATTAAAGATGATAACAGTTGAGCTCCGCATAATTCAAGTCGAGGTATAGTAATGGTTTTTAAAGGGGCTACTTTTGACTTGGCACATATTAGAAGTAGCTGGATCTTTCCTTGAGGGTCAGTCACTCGCAGGTAGATACAGGCTCCGTATGCCTTTTCACTGGCGTCACAGAATCCATGCAATTGTTGTTGTTTTGTATTCGGTGTAACAATGGTTCTTGGAAATGATACCTGGTTTAATATATTCAGTTGAGTGCAATAGGTTTTCCATTCTGTATCTAGTTGGATAGGTAAAGACTCATCCCAATCTAGTTTTGCATCCCACAGCTTTTAGATAAGAATTTTTGCTAAAATAATGACTGGTGCTAATAAACCGAGAGGATCAAATATTTTTGCAACTTCAGATAAAATGTTTCGCTTGGTAATTTTGGTTTGTTCTAAAAATACAATAGGTTTAACTGTATAGATTATATTGTCAGTTCTGGATTCCCAACATTTACCAAGTGTTTTTAATGTCGAGTCACCCAACTGCAAATGAGGGTTTATATTTTCTTGAGGTACGTCTTTAAATACAGCAGAGTTGTTTGAGGCCCATTGACGAATTGTGAATCCGGCCCTTCTTAAGATTTGTGTTACTTGTTGTCTAATTTTTATTGCCTTTTCCACATCTTCAGCTCCTGAGAGTAGGTCGTCTACATAAAAATCTTCTTTTAAAACTTTTGCTGCTATAGGAAACTGTTGTCCTTCATCGTAGGCTAATTGATGTAAACATCGAATAGCCAGGTATGGAGATGTTCTAATCCCAAAGGTTACGGTGTCTAACTCGTAGGTTTGTATTTCATTATTACTGTTCCTCCACAGGATATGTTGGTATTTTCGGTCTTCTTTTCTAATTAAAAATTGACGGTACATTTTTTCAATATCGCCTGTTATAACGATAGGGTGTTTTCTAAAACGTATTAATAATGAGAATAAATCAGATTGAATGGTAGGTCCAGTGAATACTTACTCACTTCCCCCCCTTCCCGCGCTGTGGTAGTAGCCCTGGACGGGGTGGTAGTAGCATAAAATAAAAAAAATTGCTATTTTCTATCAATTTGTAATATTCTCACAAATTTGATGTATATACATTAGAAATTAACTTTTTTTTTTTTGATTTGTTTAAAAAAAAAAAAAAAAAATTAAAAATACGGTTGACCCTGAAGGCCATCCCTGCAACTTCCCGCCAATTCTATACCTAAACGCTTGAAATTGCACTTATGACGTTTTAGAGCTCTTCGAGCTCATAAGTACAATTTGTGTATTATTTTGAGCTCTCCAAGCTCAAAAAAATAGCTTTTGTATGCTTTTGAGCTCTTCGAGGTCAAAAGTTTGATAGGGGTTTGATAAAACACTGTTTATTGAATTTTCAAATCGCAATAACTTTTGAATGAATGAACCGATTTTCGGAGTAATTCCGAAAAAACACTTTTTTCGTTCACGATATCTCTTGAACGAAACAAATGATTTTGAACAGATTGGCGGCAATCGACGTGGCTTTTTAAGGTTGAGAGCTGATGAAATTTTGAAATTGATCGGTAGAGCCGTTTAAAAGTTATTCCAAAAAAACCACTTCTGAAAAAAATTTTTTTTCTATTTATTCCTATTTTTTTGGAGATTTCTCCAAATTTCTCAAAATCTACGGGTCCGAATCGGTTCAAATTTTCAGGAAATCTAAGTTTAGTGAAGCCCTTTTGAATGGCACCAACTGCGATGAAATCGGTTCAACCATTCAAAAGTTATAAGAGGTTTACATACTTACACACACCCACACACACACACACACACACACACACACACACACACACACACACACACACCCACACGCACGCACACACACACACACACACACACACACACACACACACACACACACACACACACACACACACACACAC